GGGGATGTTGTACCTGTCAGGTAGGCCAGGAAGAAGGAACATATCAGGTAGGCTATACAGAGCCCCATCATTTCTAATGATGCCCCGATAGTAATCAGACCCATTTCATCCTGCATACAGTCATGGGGAAATGCAGTTATGTTTGGTAACATTGTTGTGTTGCTAAATCCCTATGCGCTTAGTCATTGCTGTTGTGTATTTATTATCTCTCCAAAGCAAGATCAACAGGAAAACAAAACACAAAATATAAATAGTGCAGCTCTAACGTATGCAAATATTTAGGATCTGTGCAGACTATGCCAGATATATATATCCTGCATAGTCTGCAAGCCTGCTGCACTCCTAGAGAAGTACCAAGCATATAAAGTTAAAGTTCATGGGTGACACATATGCCCTTTAATGTCACATATAGCCACCCTGGACTCACCAGCCATGTTCCGCTGTGCAGTCCTCTCTCTGTTCCGTGGATGATGACAGTCCTCCTTGTATGGTGTATACAGCCAGAGTTACAGCCTGGAGGCGGTGGGGCAGGGTGAGGTTTCTTGGCTCCACCCGGGGAGGAGATTTGCAGGAGTGTCATCTCTGGAGATCTCAGTCCTGACCTTCCATTCTTCCTCCAGCGTGCCCTCACATTATTCTTAATTTGATACTGGAGATGCCTGGTTGTGCATGCATTAGTCTGTACACATATGATGGAGATGCCGGGCTAGAAATGCTGCAAAAGAAAAAAGACACTTGTAATATTTTTACACTTCAGACCCCATTCACTCTGGCAAACGAAGCTGATTGGGGCGAGTCTCAGGTATTGCTCCAGGAGACTCATGCAAAAAAACTGCAGTTGACATGCTGCAACGACCTGCGGACGATGGCGCCTGGACGCAAACTGCTTGCATCCAGGGGTGATTATCCACAGATATTTGCAGCATGTCAGATTACATGGCAATGGCTGCTGGCGCTCTCAGCTGTCATTGCTGTGTATAGCGCTTCCGCCAATTCGTGAGACTCATTCGCAAGTGTGAATGGGGCCCTATTTGTATTACTCCTTTTGAAAATACATCTATAATGCTCACTTTTGATGCTGACAGAATTTTCCGAGTGTGACAGATGCCTGTGTCTCCCTGCTGCTCGCTGTGATCCCTCCCTAGTGGCTATGTTGCTAGCATACCATGCCGTAGAGCAGGGGTTCTCCACCTTTCTAGGGCCAGGACCCCTTGGTAACATTTGCCAAGTTGTGGTGACCCCAAACTGTAAAATTTAGGGATGCACCAATACTAGTATCTGTGTGGGCTCTCAGGAGGCTATGCAGGCTCTCTGGTGGCAACCAATGCGGCCTCTGTGTTGATCAAGCACTCACCTCCCCTCACCTCACTCCTGCCTGCTCCCCTCTCTCTGATCCTCTCCTGCTGCTGCAACGCCATCTAGGAGACGTGACACTACAGCGCTAGCAGGAGGCTGAGGAGCCTCTTACCTAGAGCAGCACAAGGCACGTGGCGACCGCCCTTGAGAACCACTGCCGTAAAGGGAGCAGCCAGAGCAGACTCCCTCACACATTCAGTTTGGCAAGTGAAGCAGAGTTGAGTGACTTACTGTGCGACGTCAATGCAGAGTCCCCTCTCATCCCTGTCCCCCGTTCATCGCTGATGGGTCACATATGCGGATTAGCAATCACGTGACTACAAATAAACTATAACAAATTTTAAAAAAAGCTGTCAGATAGTGATGAAAGCTGAACTCCAGTATTTTTTTGTTATACAGCGCAAGTCACATGATACAAATCCTCGCTTCAGTGATGGTGGATTTTGACTTTCACACCCGAATTCCGAAAAACTAAATAACACAAATCCGAATTTAAAACAAAACGAAACTAAACTAATTTTTTGGCAGTGCACATGTCTACAGCAATACAAAATTATATGAAACTACATACTCTGTTATACTGGGGTGGTGCCCGGAGGGTCTTGGCTGGCGTGTGCAGGCTCTCACCGAGGCTGTGCGGGCTCTCATGTGGACACCGTGGGCTCTCAAGGTGGGCTGTGCGGGCTTCAGGCAGATGCGGCTGCCTGAGGTCCTGCGATTTTTTGCCCCCCTTACATTGGTGGTCAGTGTCTGCGCCCCCCTTACATTGGTGGTCAGTGTCTGTGCCCTCCTTACATTGGTGGTCAGTGACAGTGTCTGCGCCCCCCTTACATTGGTGGACAGTGTCTGTGCTCCTCTTACCTTGGCATTCAGTGTCTGTGCCCCCCTTACATTGGTGGTCAGTGTCTGTGCCCCCTTACATTGGTGGTCAGTGTCTGTGCCCCCTTACATTGGTGGTCAGTGTCTGTGCCCCCTTACATTGGTGGTCAGTGTCTGTGCCCCCTTACATTGGTGGTCAGTGTCTGTGCCCCCTTACATTGGTGGTCAGTGTCTGTGCCCCCTTACATTGGTGGTCAGTGTCTGTGCCCCCTTACATTGGTGGTCAGTGTCTGTGCCCCCTTACATTGGTGGTCAGTGTCTGTGCCCCCTTACATTGGTGGTCAGTGTCTGTGCCCCCTTACATTGGTGGTCAGTGTCTGTGCCCCCTTACATTGGTGGTCAGTGTCTGTGCCCCCTTACATTGGTGGTCAGTGTCTGTGCCCCCTTACATTGGTGGTCAGTGTCTGTGCCCCCTTACATTGGTGGTCAGTGTCTGTGCCCCCTTACATTGGTGGTCAGTGTCTGTGCCCCCTTACATTGGTGGTCAGTGTCTGTGCCCCCTTACATTGGTGGTCAGTGTCTGTGCCCCCTTACATTGGTGGTCAGTGTCTGTGCCCCCTTACATTGGTGGTCAGTGTCTGTGCCCCCTTACATTGGTGGTCAGTGTCTGTGCCCCCTTACATTGGTGGTCAGTGTCTGTGCCCCCTTACATTGGTGGTCAGTGTCTGTGCCCCCTTACATTGGTGGTCAGTGTCTGTGCCCCCTTACATTGGTGGTCAGTGTCTGTGCCCCCTTACATTGGTGGTCAGTGTCTGTGCCCCCTTACATTGGTGGTCAGTGTCTGTGCCCCCTTACATTGGTGGTCAGTGTCTGTGCCCCCTTACATTGGTGGTCAGTGTCTGTGCCCCCTTACATTGGTGGTCAGTGTCTGTGCCCCCTTACATTGGTGGTCAGTGTCTGTGCCCCCTTACATTGGTGGTCAGTGTCTGTGCCCCCTTACATTGGTGGTCAGTGTCTGTGCCCCCTTACATTGGTGGTCAGTGTCTGTGCCCCCTTACATTGGTGGTCAGTGTCTGTGCCCCCTTACATTGGTGGTCAGTGTCTGTGCCCCCTTACATTGGTGGTCAGTGTCTGTGCCCCCTTACATTGGTGGTCAGTGTCTGTGCCCCCTTACATTGGTGGTCAGTGTCTGTGCCCCCTTACATTGGTGGTCAGTGTCTGTGCCCCCTTACATTGGTGGTCAGTGTCTGTGCCCCCTTACATTGGTGGTCAGTGTCTGTGCCCCCTTACATTGGTGGTCAGTGTCTGTGCCCCCTTACATTGGTGGTCAGTGTCTGTGCCCCCTTACATTGGTGGTCAGTGTCTGTGCCCCCTTACATTGGTGGTCAGTGTCTGTGCCCCCTTACATTGGTGGTCAGTGTCTGTGCCCCCTTACATTGGTGGTCAGTGTCTGTGCCCCCTTACATTGGTGGTCAGTGTCTGTGCCCCCTTACATTGGTGGTCAGTGTCTGTGCCCCCTTACATTGGTGGTCAGTGTCTGTGCCCCCTTACATTGGTGGTCAGTGTCTGTGCCCCCTTACATTGGTGGTCAGTGTCTGTGCCCCCTTACATTGGTGGTCAGTGTCTGTGCCCCCTTACATTGGTGGTCAGTGTCTGTGCCCCCTTACATTGGTGGTCAGTGTCTGTGCCCCCTTACATTGGTGGTCAGTGTCTGTGCCCCCTTACATTGGTGGTCAGTGTCTGTGCCCCCTTACATTGGTGGTCAGTGTCTGTGCCCCCTTACATTGGTGGTCAGTGTCTGTGCCCCCTTACATTGGTGGTCAGTGTCTGTGCCCCCTTACATTGGTGGTCAGTGCCTGTGCACCCCTTACATTGGGGGTCAGTGTCTGCACCCCCCCTTACATTGGTGGTCAGTGTCTGTGCTCCTCTTACATTGGTGGTGGAGATGTGCACTGTTATGCATACTTGGTTCACAAAGCACCACTCCAGCCAAGATGTCCCTTCCTTAATAGATATAGTGACGTTAGTAGTGTCACATTTCCTCTTCTCTGAAACACTGAATAGTTTGAAAAATGTATTAACATACAATGTAGCACCCAAGCCTTGAGATCTGTGTGAACATATCAGAAAAGGTCCACATGGTACCCTGAGTTTGTTTTACCACACTTTTTTTTTTTTTCTATAGCACAAACCACATAATTTACCTGTTATGAATTGTATCTTACATGTGGATGGCTGCTGCTTACTATACATATCCTCCCTTCAGTGATGGCGGATCCTAGACAGAGAGGTGATCATCTAGATGGGCCCCCGTCCTTCGCCTCCACCCTACCCATTCACAAACCTCATTGTAACACAAGGCATTCTGTGAACGGGGAGGGGACGCCTTCCATCCCACAAAGGCATTTGGTGATTGGGCAGGGAGGGCGAAGGCCCTTCACAATGGCAGCTGCTGTTTTTAACCCCTGTAGTGCCGCAAGATCACCGCTCTGTCTAAGATCCACCATGACTGAAGCGAGCATTTGTATTATGTGACTTGTGCTGTACAACAAAAATACTGGAGTTCAGCTTTCATCACTGACAGCTTTTTAAAAAATGTATTATTGTTTATTTGTAGTCACATGATAGCTAATCGCTAAATGTAAGAGGAGCGCAGACACTGACCACCAATGTAAGGGCGCACAGACACTGACCACCAATGTAAGGGGTGCACAGACACTGACCACCAATGTAAGAGGAGCGCAGACACTCTGGCTTCAGCAGATTCTCCCTTTGTTAGAAAATGGGTGAAAGTTGTGTGAATATTGGGTAACATTAATAAATTACACCCCCCCTCCCATTTAATACATCTGCCTTCCACGACTGTCCTGTCTTCAGCACTGGTAGTACCTGACATCTAGCACTCAGGTATTGCATTCCCATTACCAGGCTGCCCGACACTGGCAATACTTGACACTCAGCCATGTGACTGAACATGAGCACACTTCCCCCTGCTGCTAGTGCCTGGTACCGCAGCCAACACAACAAAAGCTGCAGTTTAGCCCTGCCATCCCCATAGCAACCCCTCCCGGTGCCATTCCGGCGCTCAATGATGACGGCAGTGCGGCAGAGTCACGTGGCGGGTGGTTGCTAGGGATGACGCAGAGCATACGTAATCTTTAGACGACAGTTGCTAAGTGAACGTCACGGTGACGCGACGGCTGCTGTGACCGGGCAAGGCCGCGAGGAGGCGCCGGGGCCGGAGAGAGAGAGGCAGAGCCCGGGGGACGCAGAAAGGCCGGGGAGTACGCTATGTAGAGGCTGGTATCGGGCAGCCTGGGGAGGCGACACCATCATGAGAAGATGTGCCGGTGAGTGTCGGGGAAGCGGGGTCACGGCTTTATTTTGGTGTCAGCTGCTCTGATTTTCAGGGACAGATTTGGAGGATTCTTCCCTGGGATTGGCCTGATTTCTGCTATTTCTACACATATCCATCTTGAACCTTCCACAGGCTTTTCCATGAACCGGCGATTGCGAGGATGTGCTGTGCTTCGGCGAATCCCCCACCCCCTCCCCCAATAAAGCTTGGAAGAGTCCCGTGCAATATCAAGCGTCTCCGGATAGAGTGAGGCATGGTCAGATTTTTTTTGTTTTGGCCATCTGTGTCCTATTGGGGAGGTTTGCCTTCACTTCCTGTCCTAAAGACACAACAGGAAGTGAAAAATTTTGGGAGGAAAATGCCCTCTTAGCTGTCACTGCAACAAGTGACCCCAGTGGAAGTTTCCCCTCCTGTTCTGGTGATTTAATTTAGAATAGTGGATCTCTCACCACTTTCAGGCCCAGTGGCAGCGGTCACCAAGACAGAAGGAGAGAGGGAATCTCCCAGGTGAAGGAATGATGGACGGAGGACGCAGGTGTTGTGTTGGATGCAGCCATTGCCTCTCCTAATAGAAGGGATCATTTGTGTAGCCATAAATACCTGATGGGTTCTAACCCCTCCTACCCTAAACTAAAAATAATGGTTTTAGATATACTTCGCTACCATTGGACGTTTTAAAATGGGTGCATTCGCGAATGTGTATTTCTGGAGTGCTGTTTATAAAGTACACCCGTGATTGGCTGTGATCTGAAATGTCATCAGATGGCTCAGATCATAGGCACAGTGCACAGAGCCGATCGGAGACCAATCACAGCGTTCACAAATGTAAACACTCTAGTATTTACATTGGAGAGCCCTCCCCTTCCTGTGACGGCAGAGTGTTTACATTGGAGAGCCCTCCCCTTCCTGTCACTACGGAGTGTTTACATTGGAGAGCCCTCCCCTTCCTGTCACAGTGGAGTGTTTACATTTGAGAGCCCGCCCTTTCCTGTTACAGTGGAGTGTTTACATTTGAGAGCCCTCCTCTTCCTGTCACAGTGGAGTGTTTACATTTGAGAGCCCGCCCTTTCCTGTCACAGTGGAGTGTTTACATTTGAGAGCCCTCCCCTTCCTGTCACAGTGGAGGAAGGAGGCTAGATCAATAAGGGGGAATAAATGAAGGGACCGTGGGCAACAGCTGATTCATGGTGGGGGTTAACCCTTTCACTCCCCTTTTCCTGTACATCTAATCTCTATTGTGTTTTTCTATGTGACCCTTATATTAACTCCGTCACCTTCCTTATCCTCCACATTAACCCCTTCATCTCCAGCTTCCCACTGTATGTGACCCTTTTTCCCCCCCCCCCGAATATATCTACTGCTAGCAAGCAGTAGATATATGCAAAAACATTACAAATACTTTGAAAAAGGTAATTACTTACCTCTATCTCTGCCGCTCACTCATGTCATCTGTAGCTTGTGGAGCGGCCGTGCAGGATGATGGGGCGGGTGCATGCGCAGTAGAGATCAGCGGTGGGGAGAAGAGGAGAGACACAGTGGAGGTGAATGCACGCAGCCGGGTGAGTGCACGTCGGACAGACACTGTGGGACCCGAAGACTCTGCGGTGGATCAGAAACCGGCACCAGCACTGGAGGGATTGTTGAATACAAGTGAAAGGAATAAGTTGATTGGCTCACCAGGCATCATTTAAGGTAAGTCCTTTAAGCAGCATAGTGAGGTGGAGGGGTAATTGTGACTTTAATGTCACTTTAACCCCTGAGTTTAGTGTCACTTTAATGTATCTAATGCTCCATGTTTTAACTCCCTCATTACCAGCAGTTTCTTCATTCCAACAAATTGTGGCAAAAAACGAGATAACCTTGTGGTGTCTACTTTCCTAAGAAGGGATCATTTTAGGTTTATTTATTTTTACTGTCCATGCATTTTTATTTCCTATGTTTCTAGACAAACTTTTTTTTTTAATTATTATTATTTTTTTTCCTTTTTAAATAGTAAGAATTAAAACAAAAACAAACCAATGGTTATTAAATACCACCAAAAGAAAGCTCTATCTGTCTCAAAAATGATTAATAATACATTTGGGGTACAGTATTGCATGACAGAGTAATTGTCAGTCTCTCACAGCACTAAAAAATAGCCTGGACAGGAAGAGGTTAATAGAGGCCGGTATTCAAGTGGTTAAATCGGACCCATACACTAAAAATTGTTGTTACCTAGTATTTGAGGTTGAATAAAGACATTAGTCCATCAAGTCCAACCTATAGGATCTCATTCTAGGAGTACCTGTACCCCTGTATATTACCTGTACCCCTGTATATTACCTGTACCCCTGTATATTACGGTCCCTTAAGAAATTGTCCAAAAGTTTCTTGAACAATTCCACATTATTTGCTGAAATCAACACCTGTGGCAGTGAGTTCCAGACCCTAACTGATCTTACTGTGAAGAACCCCCTTCGCCCCTTGTGCTGGAATTTTTTTTCCACCAATTTTAGGTGATGGCCTCTAGTTTTTGTAACGGAGTTAATTTTAAACAGTTTATCGCTAATGTTGCTACCACCATTAAACATTTTGTACATGGAAATCATATCCCCCCTTAATCTCCTCACCTCTAATGTTAAAAATTAACTCCGGCCAGGAGGAATACGATCGCTTCCTTTCTTTCTGCAGCCTGTTAATACGCTGTTTCTGTTCTGCATAGACTTCCCTATGCCCCTTGGTTCTTCTTTCTGGTTGGTAGGACCGGAGCTGTTGTTTTCTTCATACCGAGAACTGGCTCCCAATCACCTTTCTCCTATCTGTAGTTTCCATTTTGGCTTCTATAACGCAGACCAGTCGGTGCTGCTCTCATTGTGCGGGGTGACTGGTCTTGTAACAGCCCCCCCCTAGTGGGTGGGACCTGCTGGGTCTCTGACCCCATGTTGGAAAAGATTAGCAGACTATGTTGGTTGGAGCAACATTCACCTTATTTTCTTTTTGAATTAATTCATTTTGAATTAATAAAGCTGGTCGGATGACCAGCGAAACGTCTTCAAGAAAAAAATACAGCAAGTCCAGTTGCCTTGATTTATTTTTTTACAGGTGTACCATAACCTGGATGAATGAGAACGTTCATAGACAGAGCAGAGAAGGTAAGGGACTGCGTGCAGGCGCGTGCACCCGGATCTGCATTGATGGGAAGGATCGAATCAGTGTGCAGCCGCGTCTTCCCGCAGAGATGTACAGGCGACTGCACACAATTGCACGATGCACCCTTCCCTCCCTGGAGCAGGTCTCTGCACGGGCGTGTACACACCGTACAGATATGCACGCCCATGTGAATGACCCCGAAGACTCTGTAGAAGTGTTTGTTAAAACCTTTCATTTTATATAGTTTACCTGCAGGAGGATTTTTTATTTGTTCTCAACCAAATGAGAGTTTCATTTTAACTGTGACCCCTGACAACAAGTTACATAGTTTGGGAAAAAAGACAGATGTGCTTTAAGTTCAACCTGACACTAACCTTAACCCAACACTAATTTAACCCCGGCAAACCTGTGCTTCTGACATGTGCTAAAAGTATTGGGTGACCCTCAGCTGAGACCAGCGCCAAATCTCCCTTCTCCTGTGCGTGACATCTACCGTGCCGAGAACACTTGATTCATTTTCAAACATGGCTCAGAATTTCTTCATCTGATTAACCACTTCCTTACCAACTGGTTTAACCTCTTTGTTACCAGACCAGTTTCAGGAGATGTAGCAGCTTGCAGCAACAATTGTATTGAGCTTTTCTATGAATTCTATTGGTGCAATATACAGGAAAGCTATGAAATAGAGTAAAAGATCATCTTGGATAAGTCGCGCTCGGCCTGTTTTATTTTCACTGAAAACAAGTTACACCCATGATAAAACCAAGACCAAAAAAATGCTGTATAGTGAGACTGTTTCAGAAATAAAAGTGTTAATGTATTTTTATCAACTAACAAAATTGAAAGTAAATGAAGAGAAGAGAAATCCAAATCAATATTTGGTGTGAGCACCCTTTGCCTTGGAGAACTAAGCACAGATCTGCTGTGGATGTCGGCTGCCTGAAATTCTTCTGTCTCTTCATATAATCCCAGACAGACTCCATGATGGTGAGATCAGGACTCTGTGGGAGCCGAACCATCACTTCCAGGACTCCTTGTTCTTCTTTACGCTGAAGATAGTTCTTAATGACATTGGATGTATGTTTGGGGTCGTTGTCTTGCTGCAGAATAAATTTGGGGCCAATCGCACGCCTCCCTGATGGTACGGCATGATGGATAAGTATCTGCTTGTATTTCTCAGCATTGAGGACACCATCCTGATCCTGACCAAATCTCCAACTCCATTGGCAGAAATGCAGCCCCAGACTTGCAAGGAACCTCCCCATGCTTCACTGTTCCTGCAGACACTCATTATTGTACCGCTCTCCAGCCCTTTGGTGAACAAACTGCCTCCTGCTACAGCCAAATATTTCATGTTTTGACTCCTCAGTCCAGGGCACCTGCTGCCATTTTTCTGCACCCCGGTTCCTATGTTTTAGCGCATAGTTGAGTCGCTTAGCCTTGTTTCTACATCGGAGGTATGGCTTTTTGGGCACAATTCTTCTATGAAGGTGACTTCTGGCCAGACTCCTCTGGATGGTTGATGGGTGTACCTGGGTCCCACTGGTTTCTGCCAGGTCGATGCTGATGGCACTGCTGGACATCTTCCGATGTGGAGCGGACGTTAGCATGATGTGTCTCATCTGCTGCATTAAGTTTCCTTGGCCGACCACTGCGCCAAGAGTTTGAACAGCACATCTTGAATCCCCAGTCTGCTTTAAAAACTTTGCCTGGGAGAGACCTTGCTGATGCAGTACTACCTAGCTGTGCTCAGTCTTGCCATGGTGTATGACCTGTGACATGAAGCTGTCTGTCTTCCACAACCTCACCCTAGTAGCAGAGTTTGACTGTTCCTCACCCAGTTTTAAGCCTCCCACACAGCAGTTTCTGTTTCACTTAATGACTGTGTTTGACCTAGCTATGAAATTGATGATCATCATCACCTGCTCAGTATAATTGGTTAATCATACACTTGACTCTAATCCTACAAAACCCCTGACTTTGTGCAAGTGTGAAGCTGGACATACACTTTACAACCATCGCAAGACTTTAGTTGTGATATGGTTGTAAGGTAATAAAAGCTTGTACGATCTGTCCATCTTGGACAGGCAGATCTTACTTGCGATCATCGCAAGCCCGCCCCCCTGAGGGGAGGGCTTCCGATGACTGCAATGCAGAGCGGGCAGTGTGCGCGTGCACACACCGGCCCGTTCGGCATTTGTCTCCCGAGAACGCCACTAACCCGCCGACAATCGTACGATTCTCTGGTGGTTTTCAAGCCTGCTCGGGAGACAAAAGACGTGCGACCGTACAGTAGAAAAAGTCGCATGCCTTCCATACACCTGTCAATTATCGTACGATCAATGATTTAATAATTGACCTTCTGTTGAAGGACAATCCAGTATAAAACCTTTCAGCTGAGCAGTGACTGGAGCCAGTCAGCTACAGTCACTGTTTAGGTTTCCTGGCTGGCACGCCTGCCGCTGTCAGAATAGAGTAGTCTGTTGGGGGGATTCCCCCATCCACACTAAATCTGATTTGATTTCTTTTGTTCAGTCTATAGGCTGAATTAAGAAAATCTTCTAGTATATGGCTAGCTTTAGGCTGGGTTCACACCTGGGCGGACGGAATATGCATGTTTTTACCACGATTTGCGGTAAAAGAAACGCGCAACAAACGTGCGTTTATGAGAGGTATCAGGCTATACCTTAATGGATATGCGTGGAAAATACTCCCCAAAGAAGCTCCTGTACTTCTTTGGGCGTAGGGCGTTTTTCAGCGCGTTCCTACGTGCTGAAATACGCCCAGGTGGGGACCATGCCCCTAGGCAATTATTGTTTTGCAGCGCGTCTCTACGCGCTGTAAAATGCCCAAGTGTGAACCAGACCTTAGTGTTGATCGCCCTTTTGAATGATAAGGCATATTTCATGGCTGCGCGCATTTTTATTTAGAACTGGACTTGTGGAGCTAAAAAGAACAACCTCCATGATTCAGAAAGTGTCCCAAGTATGAATCAAGCTCAGTGCCTTGGAGTTGCAAGACATGGATACCAACCTCTCTGCATGTCGGTATCACCCTAACTGTCCTCTCTGCACCTCCTGCTCTCTTAGCTCCCTTGTCAGCTCCTTCCATGCGCGCCTCCAGAACCTCTCTAGCGTCTTTCCTATCCTCTGGAACTCCCAATATGTCCAGCTGTCTCCTACTCTGTTTGCCTTTAGGCGATCCCTGAAGACTTATCTCTTTAGGAAAGCCAATCCCGCCTCAACCTAACCACTGAACTATCACTTTCTCATCTCATCCCCACACAGCTACCACCTCTTGTATCTGTTGCCCCTCCCTTTTTAGATTGTAAGCTCTCGCAGGCAGGGCCCTCCCTACCATCTTGTCTTGCTTTGTATTGTAACTGTGATGTCTTCTCTATTGTAAAGCGCTGCACAGACTGTTGACACTATATAAATCCTGTGTAATAACAATCTTTGCTGTTTTGATGCAGTTCAAAACCCACATAAATATAATCGATAATCATTGTCCGCAAAGATTGACAAACTGCTTTGTTTTCCCATAGCGCGGACAAGTCATAAGGCCTCTGATTATAGAATTAGTCCTTGCGGAACTTGGCATGTGATTCATATAAAAGAGCAAATGTCACTTAATTTGTAATGTTTACTTAGTTGAGGAGGGGCGGATCTCAGTCACCATATTCCACTTGTCCGGGGTTATTGGAGTAAAAGGAAAGTGTGTGTGTGTGTGTGTGTGTGTGTGTGTGTGTGTGTGTGTGTGTGTGTCGATGATCGCAAGTACGAGTGTCCCAAGATAGGCAGATTGTACTTTTTTTTTAATTACCTTACAGCCATCGCAAGACAAAAGTCTTGAGATGATTGTTAAGGTGCCCATACACCTTACGATAATCGTGGGGAAATCCCGCGATCGTACGATTATCGTAAGGTGTGTGGAAGCCGTGCGACCTCTGCTACTGTAAGGTCGCATGACTATTACCTTAGGAACATGTTCGTAAACCAGCCGAACATTGTACGATGTTCGACTGGTTTCTGGCATGTTCGCAAGATAAAAGCCGCACGGACCGGTGTGCGCAAGCGCACACTGCCCGTTCAGCATTGCAGTCATCGGAAGCCTCATCGATCATCGCAAGTACGATCTGCCTGTCCAAGATGGGCAGAGCGTACATTTTTTTAATTACCTAACAACCATCGCAAGACAAAAGTCTTGCGATGGTTGTAAGGTGTGTGCCCAGCTTTACGCTGGCCATACGTAAGTATGGCCAGCTTTACACTTGCACAAAGTCAGAGATTTTGTATGATTAGAGTCAGATGTATGATTTAACCAATTATACTGGGCAGGTGCTAATGATCATCAATTTCATAGGTAGGTTGAAGCACAGTCATTACATATATGTATTTTATATAGATTATGGGTGCTATTGTTAATAATCTGCTCCAAAAAATGTCTAATCTGATATTTGGTTTATACAGAAAACACTTCTGCTTTTCTTGTCTCCTGTATGTATTCATCATTCTACTTACAAACAACTGTTAGATTATCAGTTAATACACATACACATGTTCTGCCCTGCACTGTATATCTTCAAGGACCGTATATTATTCCATTCACTTTTGAACAGGGTGCAGAGCCTCACCATGGCAACTGTATTGATTATTTAATAAGAATAGTCAGCACTTCAGTTTTTTAACGCAACTTTATTGGGGTAAAAACCAACTGCGGCTAAAATGTCTTGCTCTAAGCTAAAGAAGAACTATGAGGTGAGTTATTTCCACTCACCTCCTAGTTAGAGCCGACGTGTGACATTGAGACTGTCACACGTCGACTCTACAGATCGGGAAGTGAGTGAACACATACCGTTGCTCGCTCACTTTCCGATCATCTCCCTGCAGAGAGCCGTGACTGTCACTCACCGTTCCCTGCAGGGATCCCCCCCCTCCCATCTCCAATTCTGCAGCACTGACTCATAGGCAGAGCCCGCTGTCAATCAGCTAGCGGGGTGGATCTCAACAGTAATGTCAGGATCCGTCCCGGCTGCGTCGCTCTCCTTATATAGTGAGCTATAGCCCGCTATATACTGAACTTTGGGTCACGGGAGGACGTTAGAATATGTCCTCCCGTGACCCTAAAGAAAACTATGGGATAAAAACATTACCCCATAGTTCACTTTCAATTTGAGAAGCTCTCAGTACATGCATTAAAAACCTCCATTGTGAAGGTTCCATAGAACTGTCTTCTAAAATGGGGTTCCATGATTTGGCTGTCCAGCTTTGTTTTTCCAACCGATGCAGTTTTAAAGAAGGGGTTCCTGTATAGGCTCAAATTGGTAACGTGGCCAGGTGATACTGGATTTGCTGTAAGCACACAGTAGGCATGACACGGGGTGTATTGTGCTTTAAACCAGCCACTATGGGTGGTGGAAGAGGTGCAGGGACTTGTGATGTAGCATGCTGCCTTCAAAGCACACTGTGCTAAGGTACCACCAGAAGTGTCAGAATTGACGTCATTCTATTGTGCCAGCACTACAGCCAGTGGAACTATTATCCAAATTGGGATCGAAATATAGTGACTGACATATGAAGAATCCTTTTATGCAGAGCAAAAATAAAATAAAGTGCATTAGTTACATTAAAGATTACAATAAAAAAATTAAAAAATTGCTTGACGTTTCAGGGGTGTTGCTGGGCACCGCTTCCAAGAGTAAAATGTTGCAGTACTTATGTGGAGGTAGACCGGAGACGAGGATTGGAGCACTTTTAGAAGTGATGGTTTCCCAGCAGACTTTGGGTGACTGACAATACCTTATTAATGGGAAGGTGAGAGTAGCAGTACAGAGAAGTATTTACAGTACATCTTGTCACTTGGTACTAGAAGTCACTGTCATCGTACTGTCTTTGGTTGTTTCATGTCCCACTATTGTTTCCTACTAACACTGATTTTTTTTTTTTTTCTCCAGTTGTTAGATCAATAAGATGCCCACAGGATACACGTGGTGTCATCACCAGCCATTGCTGCAAGACACTCATGAAGCTGTCCGAAAGCCATAGAGGCCCCACTAACAGCAGGAAGCATCATGAAGCCTGCATACGAGCGCAGCCAGGAATGCCTTCCACCAAAGAAACGCGATCTGGTCCAGAACACTATAAATATAGAGGAGCCGCCCAAGGTGGATAACTCCTCCAATGACAGTCGAGCTACTGAGACACCTAACAACTGGCCCAGAGGAGTGCTGGTGGCAGCAGGACAAGGACCTGGGGTCAGCTATGAAGTGCTGGGGGAAGGGGCTGAGACTGTCACAGTGGATCAGTATGGAAATCTTTACAAACTTGCTGTCCCATCTGCTGCCTTCTCCCCACCTGGCCTCCACTCTGTGGTCAACATGGGCTCCATTCCTCCCTCTTTTAATGTAGCATCTCCATTGATTCAGCATCCTGGATTAACATATCCACCTATTCATTACACTCCCATTTCGCACACATCTGTGCAGTTTCTTGGGTCTCCTTATGCCGTTCCCTATGCTGTTCCTCCAGGCTTCCTTCAGCGAGCTGTGATTTCCCCTCCTGCTACTTTGGCTGCTTCTCATGTCCCTCACTATGTGCCATATAACTCCATCTTGCCTGAGGGGGTAACTCCACCTCCTCAGACTCCATCCCCACACTCTTTCAATAAAGTGAACACAGCACAATCGCCACCAGTGCTCATGGGTGTTGTACCTGTCGATGTCACAAAGGGAAGGTTTCCCATATTTTATCAGCATTCTTCTCAGCTGCAAGCTGGTTATCCTGTGCATGAGATGGTCTTGACATGTCCTCCTAATCTAGACCATAGCCCAGCCTCTCCAAATCGCAAGGAATCCTTGATCGCACCGAACAATGGGGCCCAGAGAGGGCCTGACGTTGCCTCCAGTCGAAGGAGCAGTCAGGCCATGGACCAGTACATTCATAACGCAGAGGTGCATATCGCAAGAGGCAAGGGTGAAGGTCTGTTGGACTGTGATGTATACTCAGGACATGCACCACAAAGGACAGAAGTCACTTTGATGACCCATCGCAGCACTCCTGATACAGATCTAGAAGTTCAGAGAGTGGTTGGAGGTATGGCGTCACAAGAGTATTCTACAACCTCTGTTCAGAGAAAAGACAGGATGAGCCCGTTAAATCTTTCCACGGATGGTAAACATGAAGCAGAGCAGAGACACCGAACCATTGCAAGTCCGTCCAGAGGAGAACTTAGGGGCGTATACAATATTCAACACCCTCTCAAATACTCAGAAAAAAATGCACTTATATCAAATGGAGGCTCAACCCAAGGAGCAATGTGTCCCGAAGAGAGCCTACCTTCAGAAGTTCCCCAACATGCCTCTAAGACCCAAAGGACAAAATCTCCTGGAGGCCTCAACAGAGACTCTCACCCAGATAGAGGCTCTCCGGCCACAGGACCCAGCCAGCCTCCACATTCCACCACCCTTCCCTCCCACTTCATGAAAGGAGCCATTATTCAGCTTGCCACTGGAGAACTGAAGAGAGTAGAGGATCTGCAGACCCAGGATTTTGTGCGCAGTGCTGAGGTCAGTGGTGGCCTTAAAATTGACTCCAGCACTGTGGTGGACATCCAGGACAGCCAGTGGCCAGGCTTTGTGACTCTTCAGTTCATTGTCGGAGAGCAGCAGAGCAAAGTCTGTTTGGACGTCCCACCCGAACATCCGTTCTTTGTGTATGGTCAAGGCTGGTCATCTTGTAACCCCTCCCAGACCGCTCAACTATTTGCACTTCCCTCCCACCAGCTCCAAGTAGGGGATGTCTGCATCTCCATTAGCTTGCAGAATATAACCAAGAATGGTGCCTCCCCAGCCAGTGGCATCCCTGCACATCAAGTCCTGCCACTCCCTAATGAGAAAGCAGTGTTACAGTCTAGAGAGTGCCCAGACAGAGATGGCGATAAGCAGAATCAGCGTCAGAAAGATGGCATGGCACAGAGCTCTCATGCCCTGACCATGTGCCCTCTTCCTTTAGCTCAGTCAAGCTGGCCCAGTTCAGCAGTCCAAAGATTCAGCGGGCAGAGTTCAGAAACCCGGCCTTCGCCTTCACGACACTCTTTCATTCCGCAGGAGGTGAAGCTGTCCATCGAGGGCCGGTCAAATGCAGGGAAGTAGCGCAACATTCAAAAAATAAGGCTGCCTCTGCAAGCGGAATAAATTTGCACAGTTAGAGTACAGGGATAATAATGGAGGATGCGGACAGGTCCCTGCTGACGCAGGAGTTTAAAGGGACAGTCCACCTAAGTGATATTTCAGTTCTAAGTAGATGCTGGTGTGTTTGGTCACCTACTGGTTTCTTATATTTTGTTGGGTATTCAGCCAGAGGGATCATCATACTCCTCCCTTTGATGTTTTTGATATACAGTATATGGCCAAAAGTTTGTGGAATCTTGACCGTCACTCCTATACGAGCTTTAATTGATATGGATATACACCCCCTTCCTTTGCGGCTATTATGGTGTCAATTCACCTTTTGGAAGGCTTTTTTTTTTTACAAGTATATGCCATTTGTACCTATTTAGCCAAACATTTGTGAGTTGAGGTACTAATTTTGGCCAAAAACACTTGGCTTGCATTTGGCATTCCAGTTCATCCCAAAGGGTTAAGGTCTGAACTCTGTGCAGGACATGAGCTCCTCCAAACCATGTCTTTTATGGATCTGTGCACAGGGGCAGAGTCATGCTGGAACAGAAAAGGGCCTTTCCAAATCGTTAACATCAGGTTAGAAGCTCACAATGATGTCAAATGCCTTTGTATGCTGTACCATTAATCGTACCCTTCGGTGAAACCCCTGAACTCCACATACTTTTGGCCATATGGTGTATTTTATTTGGAGCCTTCTGCAGTAGAATGGGGATGGAGATGAATACTGACTGGAAGGATTTCACTGCTGGAGTTCCTTAGCAATCTAAGAAGACATTGGGAATGTGTCCCACCAGCAACTGAAGTATCCATTTTACTTGAACTGGCCCTTTAATTACCTCTACCGGACAGTCACTGCCTGTTATTCAGAATAACAACTTAAAAGGTTTTATTTTCTTTGTAACCATGTGAAGCATATGTACTCCATGAATTCTTCTCCACACATTGAACAGAACCTTCCACAATTGCCGTTAGCTGCCACGGCTGAGGCTCCCAGTTGGTGCCGGGAGGATTCCATTGGCAGATTCCTGGAAGCAGTGCTTGTTAAAAGGTTGGTTTGCTTTGCTCTGTCCAGAAACGTCACCAGCACACCATTTAAACGTGAAAAAAAAAATCCATTTAACGACACTGTCATTCAAATATTAACGTTTTCGGGGCCACATAGGGTCCCCTTCATCAGGCTCAGAATTCTGAGGCCCCGAATACGTTTGTATTTGAATGACAAGTATGTGTCATTAAATTTTTCACGTTTTAAATGGTGTGCTGGTGACGTTTCTGGACTCTTATGTGACATTCGCGCTGCCACCCTTTGTCACTTTAAGCACCCGCCTGACCGTACAGGTTTATTCTTTGGAATCGGTAAGGAGTGCAACAGGACATATCTATACTAGACCGAGCAATAGTTCTGGAAGTTGGCCAATGAAAGCCTCTAGTGCAGGCTGAGGAGCTCGGCGTTGTCAGGTAACAACCGTTGTGATGGGCTCCCATTACAAGGTGTGTGTAAGGGTTGGGGTAGGGGAAGCAAAAAGGGGGTTTTAAAGTATTGCAGAGCGTGATAATATTTTGCAGAGAAAGAACACAGGCTATTTTTGGTATGCATCTTCCTGGGTTTTCTAGGCTTCCACTGGAACTGCATGTTCTTTTCGCTAACGTTGATTTGATCATGTCTTTAGTTTGATAGTTTGATAAGCAGCTTACAAACTCCTTTTCCTAGCACCGAGCAGTGTTGCAGTGCCGGTTAGGATCCATAGCACACCCAGGACTTCTGAGACATGACGTTTGATGAGTAGCTGACATTCCTGAGCCAGCACCCTAGTCTTGGCACAGCAGGGTTCCTAATCCCCCCCCAAAACACACCCAGAGTGCAATAAAAAGGTACATGTCCTGTTGTAGCATGGACCCTGGCTCTCCCTGCACCTTGTTTGATTCTGACTGAAAGCTTTACCTGCAGAGACATGTTATGTTATATAATATATATATTGATCTCAGCTCTGGAATACACTTGATGTGTAGTAGTATGCTGTTTTTTTTTAAAATCAAATTTCCATACTGCCAAACCTGCTTTAGAAGGCACCTGTATCCATTCTGAAAATCACTGGACACTACATTCATATTCCCCCC